AGCAGGCCCAGGCTGGATTCGAACCTGCCAGCCCTGGTGTATGTGACTGGCACCCTAACCACTGAGCTATGGGTGCAGAGCTGAAGTGTCTACTTATTATAGGCAATTTTATGTAATTGTATAGTGTATATTAATGAGAATGACACTTACTGAGCCCTTTCTAAAGCCTAGAAAACTATCTACTCATTATAAGCAATTTTATATAAGCAAATTTTGCAAGTGTATTTTAAGTAGTGTGGAAGGACTGCCCGCATTTTCTAGTTGACTAGGTTTATATAGCAGGGTGCAGAGAATGCTCCCCATAATGGATAAAGTACTACATGTGGATGTCTACAACGTTTAGAGATCAAAAGTAGAATTTGCTAATATACAATGCAAATCCTGTTTCTTGACACATGTATTAACTTTAGGACGAGTTAGTTAGATTTTGAATCCCATGTAATTACTGAGAATATAGTCCCAATTTCTTATCATTTTCATACTTATAGTGGCACTTGTCACTATGAGAGTTAGTTTTAATATAGATAAGTTAAATATAATCTTAAAACAGACATATTTTAAAAACATAGTACAAACTTGTTTTAAATACTATTTTTATTAGCTACATTAGAAGTAGTACATAATAATAGCTTTTTGTCCACTGCTTTACATATATTCTTATAGAGAATAGTTATTTTTATGCTGTGTACTTTCAAAATACATAATGGCTTTATTTTAATTTGGTGAAGTAGAAATTAAGGCCATTGCAATCATGATTAAGTTTTCTTATGGGGACTTTTTGTTCTGAGATAATTCATTCCTCTGTCAAGGAAGATTAAAATTTTCCTACATAATCCACTGCACAATTCAAGGAAGACCCTAACGATTTAGGAGAAGGAAAAAATTTTTCAGTATGTTTCAATATATTTTAATCCCATTCCTTTTGGAAATTGTTGCATCTCAAGTGGTGTGTTCTTCATTTTCATAGAACGTGGCTTTCTCCTTTGATTTGATTTCTGTATTTCCTGAGACTATCACCAGCTGAAAAAAAATGTTTTAAATCTTTAAGGTTTTGGTTGAAACACCCAGCCCTGGTAACCTTTGCAAATAGAGATGAAATATGTATGATCAAAGTCTTCTCCCAAAATGCACTGCTCCTGGAATGCCCCTGGCCTCTGCCTAGACCTGTAGCTTTGAAGCTA